GTGAGCAAGGTCAGTGGGCACTTAGACACTAGGAAGCAGCTAGCTACAAGGACAGACCTCACAAGTCCATCAGTCGATGTAGTTCCCCAGGCCTGTGGGAGGGAGGAGGAGGGAAGGGCAAACCGAAACTTTGAGGTCCTCCTCTCTAGAAGTCACTTGAGGGTTTACTAATAATTCCTTTTAAAAATATTTTATTTTTATTTTATGTGTATGAGTGTATTGCCTGCATGTATGTGAGTGCACCCGTGTTATACAATGCCACAGAGGTCAGAAGAGGGTTTCAGATTCCCCTGGAACTGGAGTTAAGGATGGTTCATAGCTGCCATGTGGGTGCTGGGAATCGAACCCAGGTCCTCTGCAAGAGCAGTCAGTGCTCTTAACCACTGAGCCATCTCTCCAGCCCCTACTAATAAAGGAGGCCATGTCTGGTGATTTACACCTACAATTCCAGTACTCAGGAGGCTTCAACAGAAGGATCTTCCCACATTCGAGGCCAACCTGGGTTGCATAGTGAGGCCCTATTTCAACCTTCCCCTGCTCCCCAAAATTAAATAAATAAAAATGCATAAAGGAAGCATAAAGAGAAGATTTTTAAAGTGTTCATTTGGTTTTGTGCTATGTAGCCCAGGCCGGCCTCCAACTTTTATTTTTTTATGTGTATGAGTATTTTGCCTGCATATATCTAAGTGTGTGCATATGTGTGCAATGCCTGCAGAGGCCAGAAGAGGGTGTTGGATCTCCTAGAGGTGTCAGATCTCCTAGAACTGGAGTTTCAGATGGTTGTGAGGCATCTTGTGGATGCTGGGGATCCAATCCAGGTCTTCTGCAAGAGCAGCCAGTGCTCTTTACTGCTGAGCCATCTCTCTAACCCTGGCCTCAAACTTTTGATCCCCCTGCTTCATTCTCCCAAGTGTTGGGATTACACATGTGTGCCAACATGCCCTGCTAAGAACAAATTTGATAATATTTTTCATGTATGTGGCCAGACATGGAGGCACACGCCTTTGGTCCCAGCACTTGGGAGGCAGAGGTAGGCAGATCTGAGTTCGAGGCCAGCCTGCTCTATATAGCAAGTTCCAGGACAGCTGGGGCTACAGGGAGATCCTGTCTCAAAAAGACAAAAGAAAACTTTTTTCATTTACATTTCAGTAATGCACTTACCAAAGTGACAATCTCTTTTTTTTAGAAATTATTTTTTTGTGACAGGGTCTCATATAGCTCAAGGTACCCTCAAATTCCCTATATTGCTGAGGATGGCTTTGAACTCCCGAGCCTTCTGTCTACATCTCCCCAGTACTGAGATTACAAGTGTGTACCATACCATCACACCTGGCTACAAAAATGTGAGAAAGGAGTTGTGACTCAATGCATTTTCAAAAATTTTATTATTTTTATTTTATGTGCGTGAGTGTAATGCCTGCATGTGTGTAAGTGCACCCATGTCATGCAATGTCCTCGGAGGTCAGAAGAGTGCGTCAGAGCCCCTGGAACTGCAGTAATGGACAGTTGTTAATAGCTGTGTGGGTGCTGGGAATCGAACCCAGGTCCTCTGCAAGAGCAGTCAATGCTCTGAACTGCTGAGCCATCTCTCCAGTCGTGTGACTCAATGTATTTTTAACTTTAAAAAAATTTTGCATGCATGTATGTATTTGTGTTTACATGTGTATGCACCCACATATATGTACATGCATGTAGAGGTCAGAGGGTGACATTGGAATATAAACATTTATTCCTTTCTCAATCACTCTCCACCTTATATATTGAGGCAGGGTCTCTTTTTTAATATATTTTTTAATTTTTATTTTGTGTGTATGAGTATATTGCCTGCATGTTTGTAAGTTGACCCGTGTCTCGCAGTGCCTTGGAGATCAGAGGCGGCCGACGGATCCACTGAAACTGGAGTGACCGATGGTTGTTAGCTGCCATGTGGGTGCTGGGAATCAAACCTGGGTCCTCTGCAAGAGCAGCCAGTGGTCTTAACCGCTGCCCGGGCAGGGTCTCTTAACTTGAACTCAGAGCTCATCAGTTCAGCTCATCTAGCTGCCAGCTTGCCCCGTCTCTGTCTCCCTAGCACTAGAGTCACTGATAGGCTGCCCGTGCCTGCCTGACTTTTATGTGACTGCTGGGAATCCGAACTTGGGTGCTTTTACCCACTTTTCTCCACTGAGCCATCTCCTGAGCCCCACATTTTTTTACTTATTTTGAGACAGGGTCTGGATATGCTGCCTGGTTGGCCTTCACTTCCCGGGCTCAAAGGATCCTTCTGATTTGGCCTCTTAAGAAGCTGGGACCACCTGTGTGTGCCATCATGCCCAGTACCTAAAGCATTTTATTAGGAAGATATGATATTGGCTCCAAAGTCTGACAAGCCCAGGACTAAAAGGTTAGATGCAGTACAAAGCATCCCTGAGATGCCCTTCCTCTGCATCTCTGAGCACCTGACGTGTGCTGACTAGACCAGGAGCCTGCTGGGGTTAAGTCTTAGCATTGCTCAGGACCAGGTTTGGGGCTGTAGGCATGCCAGGTAGTCTCCCTATGCCTTCTTTTCAGCAGTCTGCAAAGTGGCTGCAATTCAGTGCATAGGCATTTGAAAACACTGACAGTACCCAGCCTGTGAGTATAAATGGGGTCATTAACATTAGCACCTGATTTCTGGAAGCTCCAAGTCCCCACCTGTGCCCCTCTGTACAGGTCTCAACAGCACTTTCCCCAACTGTTTGGAGGAAGGTTTGGGTTTCACCAATGCCCTGGGATAGTTGAGAACGTTTGTCTACTCTGGTCTCCCTGGAGATGGTCCACCTGCCAGTTGGAAGAGGTACCCTCTAGCTGGCCTGGTTGTCCTTACTGTCTATGAATACACTTGTTTGTCCCTACTCCTGAGCATTCTCCTGAAGGGTTCCTAAGGTTTCCCACAGAAGATGAAGAAGGCCCTTCCCAGGTATTCCATTTGTCTTTGATTCAAGGGAACTTTTGCTTTCTTCCCAGGGACTCCTTGTAGAGGGTAGACTGGACTGAGCTGGCAGACACCATCCATTCGCCCTGGGGTTCCTCCTCCCTTGTCCTACACTTGTCCCTCCTTTGTCTAAGCAGGGAACAGAGCCCTATGCATCCACCCTGCCCTACATCTGTCTGTGTACACTGGAGACTTCGATGTTCAAATGTCCACTGTGGCAGTCTATGGCCACCCCAGGCATCAGGAGAGTCCACTCTCAAATCCCCAATCCCCTCTCTCACCTCAGCACTGTGTGTGTCTCAGAAGCAGAGGATTTTAGGGCAGAGGAAGGTTCTAGGTGGCCTACACCATGCAGGCATCTACTCCACCAAGGTGTAGCCATAGCAACTGCTCGGCCCCCAGTGGTCTAGAGCAGCATTGTGAATATTCACATATCACAGCTACATCAAGACTACACAGCATGTCAGAGCTAGAGAGACTGCTCAGTGGCTAAGAGTACTGGCTGCTCTAGCAAAAGATCTGGGTTTGGTCCCCAGCATCCACATGGTGGCTAACTCCAGGTCCAGGGGACCCGATGCCCTCTTCTGGCCCCTAAGGGCACTGCATGCACATGGTGCACTTACATACATGCAGGCAAAACACTCATATAAAAATAAAATTAAAATTAAAGACTAGACATCATCTCTCAGTTCAAGTCAGGTGGAGTCACTACATTGTGTTTGTGACACATTTGGAACAACATTTTTCTTTTCAGAGCTTAATGGAACTGAGGATGGTGGTTAAGGGCTAAAGATACCCTGTGTTATTCTCTTTTGGGATGTGGTAGAAGCCCTGTGTCTGGATGTCCCTGTTCCCAGAAGTAAGAGACGAAAGGAGGAAAACAGCATTTATTCTGTACTGACTGTGTGCCTGGCACACGTCAGCTCTTTAGCTTGTGTTACCTCACTGGGTGAGGGTGGAGGTAGGTGGAGGCCTGGCCTGAACCTCCCAGTAAGGGGAGAGGTCAGTTCGGTCTGAATGAGAAGCTGAAAGGGGCCCCAGCTCAGCCTCTAATGTGTTTACCCAAGGCCTGTAGCAGGTGGAAGTTCCATCTGCTCAGCTCTCTCAGCTGAGCCCCAGCCCCAGCAACAGGGGCCCAGCAGGGTCAGAGAGGGGTGGGGCAGAGGCTTTCTAACCCCATCAGCTCAGCCACTGCCTGCCTCCCTGTGCTGGAAGAAATACCTCCAAGGCTCAGGGGTTGCACTCAGCTAAGCCCCCCACCCCCATGCTCTTGGTGCTCTGGACTGAGATAACGGCAAACAAAACCTGCTGTCCCCAGCCTGTCCTTGATCAACTTTGGTGCCGGCACAGGCCACAATTCAGAATCAAATAGGGGTGTCTGAGACCAAAGGGATTGCTTCTCCCTAAAGGTAGGTGGGATAGGCTTGAAGCTATCCAATCTTGCTTTAAGACCACCACCTTCCCATATGCCTCTGGGGTCCTTTACTCCTCAACTAGCCACCCCTCACTGCTCAGTCAAACACACTGGCTCCCCCAGCCCAGGAAAGGCCTACAGTCCCTGCTGATGAATCTTCCTTTTCAGACTCGAACATCACCACTGGAAGCCAAAGAGGTCACTGGTTCAGGGAATGAGATTCAGGCCCAGAAAGGGGGTTGGAGGTGGTTTACATCATGAATGCCTCCATCCATCCATCCATCCATCCATCCATCCATCCATCCATCCATCCATCCATCCATCCTTCCATTCATCTATTTGTCGAACAATAACATTCACCCTATATGTGTTAGGTAGAAAGCCCCAGCAGCTGCTGTAGTGAGCCCACGGCTAGCAGAGCCCTATCCTTTCCCCCAGAAAATGGAAATTGGGGTGAAGCTTATAACCTACGAGGTAGCTCTTTTTCTCCTTTCTACTCGGAGCCACCCCAAAGGGAAACCTTTCTCCCTCCCCCAGATTTCAAAGTTGGTCAAGTTCCATTGGGTACAACCTCAGATGTTTTCACCTTGCAGGTGGCCCTTAGCCCCCTGGGATCCATGGCTTGATCCTCTCCTACAATCCTGCCCCTTTGGGGAGTCCTATAGACTTCAGCACAGGCTCCACCACCATGGCCTCTGGCTGTGACCCCAAGGTGCAAGACAGGTGGGCATCATGGATGACCTGTCGGACTGTGGCCCGGAAAGTCTTACTGACGAAGCAATAGAGGCCAAAGTTGACTGCTGTGTTGAACATGGCCATCATGTTGGCTATGTCCAAGGCCAAGTGGACCCTCCAGTCCCGGTGGACAGGGGCCACATACAGATGGTAGAGCATGACACCGATGCGGGGTGCCCAAAGAAGGGCAAAGAGTGAGGTGACACCCAGGAGAATGGCTGTGCTCTTACCCATCCAGGGCCGCAGCCCTCTCTGGCCCCTCTTCCGGAACCGGAGGATGATGGCTGAATTAGTGACCAGGAAGATGCTGCAGGGAATGAAGTAGACGATGAGGCAGTGAGCCCACTTGAGGAGTTTGTCCATAGTGCTTGGGGGGTCTGCGTCCCTCCACACATCCAGCCACCAGTAGAAAGGGATGCCAGTCAGCAGGGCAGTGCAGAAGACGGCAGCAATAGCACGGCGGGTCCGGCCTGGGGACGATGTGACCCGGTGGCGCAAGGGGCGGCACAGGGCATTGTAGCGGTCCACCGTGAGCAGCACTGCGACCCAGACCGAGGCATGGTTGGCAGCGAACTCCAGGATGTTAGCTGTGCGCACCACAGCCTGGGGCACCTGGCGGGCAAGCACGGCTCCCTGTAGGAGGAAGCCCACGAACACGATAACCACTTGCGTGACGATATCCGAGGCTGTGAGCGCCAGGAGGTAATGGTAAGAGGGCTTCCTGGTCCTGGTAGCAAGGCGGGCCAAGGCCACTGTGGTCAGAAGGTTGACTGACCCAGGTCATGGAGGGGAGAGGTCAGAGGCATTAGAGGGGGTGGTGGGATTCCGCTTCCCTTCCCTGCCATTGGTGTGGTCCATCCCCACCTGCCAGTGCTAGGGAAAGCACTGACTGCTATTTTCAGTCCCTCCACCACCAGTCCCTCCCCCTGCCCACTGCTTGCAGTGCACACCAAACCGCGGCTAGGCAAGTGCTATACTACGGAGCTCTGTTACCAGCCCAGCCAGCCTTTTTCATTTTGTATTTTGAGAAAGGATCTCACTAAGTTTCTCAGGCTGACTCAGAACTCTCTGTAGCCAGGTGGTCCTTGAACTCATGATCCTCTTGCCTCGGTCTCTTCTGTACCCCAGCTCCTTTTTCTTTTTTAGATTTATTTTCATTTTGTGTGTATGAGTGTTTGCCTGAATGTGCGTATGTGCACCACATGCATGCAGTGCCTGAGAAGGCCAGAAAGAGGGTGTTCGAGACCCTGGAACTGCAGTTACAGATGGTTGTTAGTGGCCATTTGTATGCTAGGAACTGAACCCATGTTCTTTGCAAGAGCAGCCAGTACCCTTAACCACTGAACTCTCTCTCCAGCCCCTCATCTATCTATTGGTTTTTTGTTTTTAATGTCCAATATTTAAAATCAGCTTGCAATTCTATCTACTATTTTTAAAAAGATTTACTTATTTACTTTTTTTTTTTGTCTTTTTTGAGACAGGGTCTCCTTGTAGCCCCAGCTGTCCTGGAACTTACTATGTAGACCAGGCTAGCCTTGAACTCACAAAGATCTGCGTGCCTCTGCCTCCCAAGTGCTGGGATTAAAGGTGTGTACCACCACGCCCGGCCTTTATTTACTTTAAAAAATATTTTCTTATTTTTATTTTATGTGTATGAGTGTATTGCCTGCATGTATGCAAGTGCACCCATGTTGTGCAATGCCCGCGGAGGACAGAAGAGGCTGTCAGATTCCCTGGAACTGGAGTTACTGACAGTTGTTAGCTGCCATGCGGGTGCTGGGATTCCAACCCAGGTCTTCTGTAAGAACAACCAGTGTTCCTAACCGCTGAGCCATCTCTCCAGCCCCTTACTTTTATTTTATGTGCATGCATATAGCTGTGCACCACATGCATGCCTGGTTCCCACAAAAGCCAGAATAGAGCGTCAGAGCCCCTGGAACTGGAGTTAGATGCTTGTGAGCCACTACGTGGGTGCTGGGAACCAAACCAAGGTCCTCTTCAAGAGCGTCAAGTGGTCTTAACCACTGAGCTATCTCTCCGGCATCCAGCTACTTGAGACAGGGCTTCATGTCTCAAACACCCTATATAGTTGGAGAATGGAAGATAACCTTGAACTTCTGATCCTCCTGTATCTGCCTCCCAAGTGCTGGAATTACAATCATGTACCACTATGCTCAGTTTATGTGGTGCTGGGATCGAACCCAGGGCTTCATGCATGCTAGGCAAATACTCTATAATTGAGCTCCACCCTAGCCCTCCAGCTGACTGGAGGTATAGCTTAGTACAGAGCACTTGCCTAGCATGTCATAGGTGCTTGATTGCCCAATCAAGGCAAAAATCTCAATTTGTCAGCCTAGGTAATCAGGCCAGCCTTGCCCCCTGGCCCATCCACAGCCCAGGCTGTGGACCACCTTCGAAGTACCTAGGTGGACCTACCTAGGTGGGTGTCCACCTGCTGAGGCATTCCACCCTAGATCTTTTCCAGGCATTCTATATCGTCTAGAATAAATGTGCCCTGGGATCCAGGTGTGGGTTTATTTACCAAACAAGGCCACTTGCCTTTCCTGTATCCACTCATCCACCCACCTCACTCAGGCTCTGCTCTATGCCATGGGTTACACAGGGGCTTCAGACCCGATCCTCAACAGTATGCACTGTTGCCATAGAGGTGAGCTGTCTGATCTGGTGAGACCTTTCATTTACCTTTGAGCAACCCAGTTCCTAGTTCCTCACTTGTGACTCTCCTCGATCTTTGCTCCCTAGTGACCCAGAGTACCTCCCCTCCCCCATAAAGGCAAGGGAAGAGGTGGCATCTAGGGTCCTAGGTCTTAGGAGGGCACCAGAGAGGATTAGGAACAGTTGAAAGAGAACCCCACTTTTGGCCCAGCATGAGGTCCCAGACCCTGGCTCCCCACTCACCAGGGAGCCCCAGGCTCAGCAGGACACTGTAATAGATGACAGGAATGACACCAGCCACACAGGCTGACCTCTCTGGGCTCTCTGGCCAGTAACTGTCCACATCCTGTCCTGGCCCACTCCCGTTGGGTGTGGGCAGTAGGGTCACTTGTGGCTGCCCAGCTAGGAAGGATGGAAAAGCAGGGTTATGGTAGTTACTATCTTTTCAGTAGGGCTCAACAGCAGCCCCTGCCTGACCCTGAGGTCCTTCTATTCTGTTCTCGGTGGAGAGCCCTGAGACAGACCCACTCAAATGCAATCTCTGTTGCCCTGGAAATCCCACCCCCTCCACCCCCAGTCTGCTCTCCTATTGATCGCAGTGGCATTGCTCCCCCGACATCATCATTCCCGCCACCAGGGAAACAGGCCACACGGCGGTCGTTGTGGACGCATAACTGCAGCACTCATATCAATGCTGGGTGACTCTGACCGATGGTGGCTCCCAGCAGCAGCTCAGCTCCATCTAACAGCCGCCTGCTCTCTCAGGAGAGACTGTGACCAGTATCCCCTCTTTCCTAAGCCAAGAGCATCCTTCTTCAGAGATTGCCACTACTGATGCTCACATGGTCAGATGGGGAAACCAAGTCCCAGGGTAAGGTGGCACAGTTGGCTTCGGGCCAGTACAGAATGGGGGCCCTACATATACCTGCTCTGGCCTCTGGTCCCCTCAAACTACACTTTAAGTCTCTTTAGGTTTTAACGTCCAGCTTCTGATTTCCTGCTGAAGATGAATGGGAGAGCCCCTCCCCCGACAGTGAAGGCCAGTTCTCCTGCCTCACTACCCCCTCTATCAGCAGTCTCACTCTCTCCATCCCTAGCCTTTATGTCCCTCACCTGTCTCTTCTTCCCTCCTTCCTCCACCTTAGTCCCCCCTTCCCATTTAAAAATACTTTACCTTTCTCTGGTACCCCAAGTCCCATGCTCCCAGGTCCTGAGCCCCAGGTCACCAGCAGCTTTTCCTGGGGCTCTCCACAGCCATCTTGAAGCATTGCCCTCTGTATCCCTCACCCTGGCTCTCTGAGTGAGTAGTTTGCCTCAGGCTTCTCCCAGCAGCTCTGAGCCTGTTGGTGCAGAAAGTGGGAGAGTGAGGGTGCCGGGAGAAGAAGGGAGGAGGGAGAGGGAGGGAGAGGGAGGGGCGATGGCTGCAGCCGATGACTCTCCAGTGGATACTGTGGGAGCAAAACCACTAGCAGGGTGAGGGTCTGCTGGGTAGAGGCTTCAGGAGAGAAAGGCTGGGGCCAGGGCTCGCCTAAAGGGGTAAATCTACCTAATAAAGGAAAAGGAAGTGAAGTGAGGAGGCAGGGCAGCAGGGCCTGGCTCTGGATAACTGTCTTGTATCCCAGGGCCCATGGCACACGGGTCTTCTCAGTTGGGACAGCCACACTCAGGGTGAGGACTTTGGAGAAGGCAGGATTCGGGGGGTGTTTCTAGGGGCATCAACATGATGAAAGTCCCTTGCTGGTGGGAAGGGAGGCTATTAGTATCCTGGAGCTGGGTGATCAGCACCAGGCCAAAGAGGGAGGTTGCTGCGGGCAGGAGTCAGATTCCCAGGCAGGCATGAGGGGTTAGGTTCAAAGGGGTCCCACCTGCAGAGACCTCAAGGAATGGGATGAGGTCTAGGCTGACTTGGGGTGCTGCTGGAGGGAAGGACAGCAGGAGGTCATATGCAGTGCTCCCTGGGAGAAGGGCCGGCAACATGGGGAACACAGGATCCTGTTGGTCTAGCAAGCTGCTGTTTTCCTTGTCCTAGCAGAGCTGAATAGTTCTCAAGAACAGCATTCTCTGGTAAGCAAACACCAGCTGGTGCTAGCAACGCTCTGAAGAAGATGGAAGCTGTTGCCAGCAACTCCCTACACCTGGGAGAGGAGTAACCAGGCCAGTACACCATGGGTACCAGGACACAAGCACCCAGGGGACTACCTGGGGTATAGAACTGAGGCCTAGCCTGGAATTGCTTTCCATGGTCTAGCCTCTAAAACTGTACCATAAAGTGTATCAGGGAATGTTGAGCGTTTTCTAGCTCCCTAAGGTGGATTCCACCTCTGGGGTTGGAGCCAACCCACCCTGAACCCAAGGACCACCCTCAATCACAGCAGAAGACTTGTTGCCCCCTGGTGGCTACATAGGGATCCTGCATCCCTCCAAGAGTCCTGCTGGCTTCCGTGGGGAACCCTGGGCAACGGTAGGGCAAGGGCTATCTGCTTAGGACAGGGCCCCAGATACAGATTAGGAACTTCGGCATCAGAAAGCTAGCATCACAGACAATCCTCCAGGCTGCCACCTCCCTCTGCCATGGACAGGCCGCCCTTCAAAGAGCTGGGAAGACCACCCATGTCTGAGGTCAAGGAGGGCTACCTAAACTGTTCATATATATATATATATATATATATATAATATATAATATATATATTGTAGGCTGTACAGTTTATTGAAAAGCTTAAGTATTCCTCAGACAGTAGTGCAGTAATGTTTTCTCTCTCTTTTTTTTTTTTTTTTTTTTTTTTTTTTTTTTTTTATAAAATTTTTTTTTAAAAGACAGCTTTGCACTGGGGAAATAAAGACAGCTGGCACCTCATAAGCACCAGATCTCAGCTACAGTCTTTCTGAAGGCGCCTGCTTAAAGGCCGGCTTCCTGGAGACCGGGATTACAAAGGTAGTAGTTTCCTTTGGCTTTTAATTTTCCCATGACATTAATGGCACAAGTGAGACAGATCCACCTGCCTCTGCCTCCTGAATGCTGGGACTAAAGGTGTGCCCCACCATGCCCGGCTGGTGTTTTCAATTTTAGCTCTCCTGTGTCCTATACAGGTAACTGGAGACCTTGGGATTGGGGCAAGGAAAAGGCAGAGACAAAGAGGGGAGTTTAGTTGAGAGGATACCTCTTCATGTGTACAGTAGCTTAGCTACTCGAGCCTCCCCTCTCCCCTGGTCCCTCCCTGTGGAAGGCCTATTGTGGGGGATAACCGAATGTACCTGCCCAGACCTGCATGCATCCTTCGAGGGCCTTTGTCATAGATGCTACTTCCTGCATGACCTAAGATGACCTCAGCCATCCTGCATAGTGAGACAAGAAGTGCTTTGGTTTCTGTGTAGGAGACATAGTCCATTTGTCTTCCTCAGAAAGTGCCTCAGAGGCAGAGGCAGGAGGACTGTGAGTTCCAGATCAGCCTGAGCTATGTAGCAAGACCCTGTCTTTGTGAGTTCCAGAGCCTATGCCATAGAAACCACAAGGTGAAGGTGTATCTGTTTAGACAGGCAGGTCCCAGGACCCTTTGCACCCCACAGGTAATGTTATACCTGTCAATAACAGTGAAGCCCACAAAGCAAGAGCTGGGGTCTGCAGGAGCCAGAGAGACACCCAGCACCATCACACAGGGCAGTGGCAGCATCTGACTGGGTACAGTGATGACAGGGACAGGGCTACCAAGTCATCAGCAGGCACACAGCCTGTTCAGAGGTGAGGTGTCCCCTCTTGGTGGGAAGGTTCTGTCCTATATGGTGTCTGTGTCAGTGGGAATGGAGAGGCCACTGTAAGCTGTAAAACTCCATGGAGGAATGGTCCAGATGGATGGCTCTTAGATCAGGATGGGCATTCCAACTAGGTGAGTGACATGATGGGAGATGCTGGCCAAGTAAGAGGCTGTGCTGCCCACAGCATGTGAGTGGTTTCAGGGAAAGAGTCCTCTTTATTTTTTTTTTAAGTTTCATGTAGCCCAGGCTGACCCCAAACTTGCTATGTAGCTAAGGCTGACTTTGAACTCCTGATCCTTGTACCTCTACTTCCCAAGTGTTGGAATTTCAGGTATATACCATGACACATAGCCTTTATCTTTATTTATCCTTGGTGAGCCCACTGGATGTGTTGGGCCCAGAACCTAAACTCATGAATCCTTCCTCCTAAGTGAACTGAGTCATGCACGAGTGGAACCCAGAACAGAAGACACTTGGGTTGAGGTGGGCTGGGCGTGAGGTCCACCCATCCTCCATGTTCCCACAGCCCAGTGCCAGTGAGAGATCCCCACTTTGCAGATTCATAAACTTCCTTTCCTGTCCCAAGTTTCTGAAACTTTCCAGTTGCTTCTAGACCCCCTGAGATACCTTGCTCAAGGGAGATTGGTTATTGGGTCTCAACTAGCTTTCCAATTGAGCTAGCTTGGGGTTGTGTAGCCAAAGCCAGGGAGAACTCTAGATACTTAACTCCTGGCTATTCCAGCTTCTGGCTGAGTCACGTGGGCGGCATACGTGCATCCGAGGCAGGAACTCACACTCCGCTGGCTCCTCTCTGGGAACGGTTCTTGTTTGTGAGCTCTCTAGACTTGCTCTTAAGGAAGGAGCTTCCAGACCATGAGGGACCCACCAGCCTAGGGATGGCACTTCTCACAGTGGGCTGGGCCCTCCTACACCAGTTAGCAATCAAGAAAATGCCCCACAGACATGGCCACAAGCCCGTCCGATGAAGGAAACTCCTCAGTTGAGGTTCCTTCTTCCCAGGTGTGTCAAGGTGACAAATGAAGCTATGACAGCATCTATCACCTTGAAGACTGTGAGGGTGAGCACTCTCTGGCCCTCTCCTGCCCCCAGATATCCCTACCTCATAGACGTGTATGAATACACAGCACATACATACACGTGTAGCCACAGGTAACTTTATTTATAAAGCCAGTTTCTATATCCTTAGAGGAGTGGCAGAGCTGAGGGAGGTTAGAATCAGGGAGGGGCCTATCAGAGGTGGGGAGTCAGAGGTGACCCTCCTGGGTCTTCTTGGGAACATAAGACCCTTCACGCTTGAAATGCTACCTATCTCACTCTGGTAGGTGGATCTTAGCTTGGGGTGTCCATAACAATCAGTTGGCGTGCCCCTGGGAATTCTGACTCCTTAGTGGAGCCTAGGGGGTAGCACAGGTGGCCAGGCTTCAAGAGAGACTGGCAAGTCCCCAAGGAGGCAGGAGAGAAGAGGGCCTACCCAACAGCAATCATCTGAGCAGTGGGTCTTCCAATCCCTAACATTTCTGTTGATGGACCTTGTGCACAGGAGCTAGGCTGTCCCCAGGGTGGGGAACGGGGGGAAAGCACCCCTTTCAGAAGCTGTGAATTCCTGGGTTGAGCCTGGATGTGGTGTAGCCCACAAGAAGAGGAGGCAGGCCAGCCAGTGGATGGTGCTTCTGGACAAGGGAGACCAGGCACGAAAGTTGAGTCAGCTGGGAGGTGTTTCCGCTAAGCTAGGCATCTCCAATCCTGCCAACCCGGACAAGATTGGTGCCAGACCCAGTTCTCGCTTTCTCTGTGGCTCCAGGAGGTGAAGCTGTTGGGTCTCCACGCACCAGAAAGAGACAGAAGTCAGCACACTGAGCTGGGCATTGGGATCCAGAGAGCAAGAGCAGAAAGTTCCAATTAATTCCCAGTGCAGGACCTGGCCTGAGAAACTCAGCTCTCCCAGGAGCCATCCACCTTCAGCTACCAACCTCAAAGGAGCCACTGTCACAAGGGGCTGGGGTAAATCCTGCTGGTACCAGGTAAAGGTGAGGTCTGAGCAACACAAACACAGACACAACACACATCACACACACACACACTGACCACTCATATCACGCACACTTCACATACACATCCTACACACACACAGAAACATGTAGAAACACATGCATACACACATCATACACACAGATGCAAACACACGTTTTATATACACACATACAAACACACAAACCACACATGCATATCCCACTCATGTGTGTATAGAGATACACACATAAACATAGGCATACACACAGGCACATGCACACACCACACATGTACGCCCCCCACACACATACACACGCACACACAGGACTGCAACCCTCACTCTCCCTTCTCCATTGCCTTTCTTTCCTCTTGTGCTGTCTAACTGAGACTGCAGCCTAACTCCCTGCCTCAGTTTCCCTACAGATGGACTGGGGTTGCTGCATATGCTGTATGTCTCCTTGGAACTATGGGAAGGGAAAGGTTGGAA